GTATAGACCTGTCACTCTTTCATTTTACATTCACTGTCTTTATCTGTCTCTCATCATTCTTAACCCTTTTCTTTCATGATATCATAGTGGCGATTTGTTGGAGATTACTCAGCGATTTTTGGAGATTCTATTTTACTTATCAGGTGTGTACTGAAGACGATCAACGACGTTGTGTTTTTTTTTATCGATTTCAAGTACGAAGACTACCTACCTGACGTTCCCAAGCTTCAAGGAAGATGTCGCGTTCGCAATCATCGTTGGACAGGAGGCGGCGCAGACACTCATCATCGTCTTCCGGATCTGAAGGGAGGAAGCGCTCAAGAAGGGGGAGATCGAAAACTCCGAGAGATGGAAGACATAAGTCAAGATCACCATCGTCACGAAGACGAAGGGCGGAGTCAGAATCTTCAAGGTGGTTCTCGAGACCATTGTGGGAGCAAAGACGAAATGATTTCCCCCCACCGGGAAATAGAGCGTGATTTACGGCGGATCTAAAGGAAGAAATCTTGAAGCTCCGCCGGGAGATGGACAAAGTTCTCAAGACACTGGAGCAACTCACACGAAAGACAAGTGATAAGCAGCCAGCTCCTCCGAACAAGGAAGACACCGCAAAGAAGCCTGTGCTAACTCCGGACGCGATCAACTTGAAATCCATGATTGATGAAGCACTGAAGTCGACAGAGATGAACCAAGGGGGACAAAATCAAGTTGGTCCAAGCGCAACCAGTCAGAAGAATGCAGAGGCGGAAGATAAAGTAGAAAGGATGGTATCGGAAGTGCAGAAGGAGGTCAACAACCTGAAGCTACTAAAGTATGTTATGGCGGTTGTGAAGGGCGCGTTGCAGAAGATCAATGAACCGATTCGTACGTGCACTCCGATCGTGTCGTCTTCGGTTCATCCGAACGGATATGTGGGGACAATGGCTGGACTACCAACTTCAGTACATGGTAGCCACAGCATTTCGAGCCGAAGCATGCCAAGGAGAAGCGCGTCGAACAAAAGCAGATTGGGACGCGTAATCCCTCCACACCCCAAGAGAGGACGAACGGAGATTAATTGCAACGTGTCGGTAGCGAAGTCGAAGGCAAAACGGAGCATTAATTTCGAGGTCGAACCGATGACAGACATGCAGCTCCTTCGTCTTCACTACACGGACCTGAAGGTCTTATGCAAGATGCATGTCATCAGGTACAAGGACAAGCCGCAAGCGATCTCGGCATTGAGGCAAGTTCGTGGATTGATCGCCTACAAGGGGCGGGACTTCAACCGGGATTCTGATCCTGAAACACAGATCATGCCAGATCCAGATAACATCAGAGTGTCCAATACAACTGGCTGCGACACAAGTGAGGATGATTACGAGAGCCTTAGTACAAGATCAAGCGGGAGTGATGAGTATGACTCATCCGACACATCTTTGAGCGCCGAAGATCTGTCGGGAAGGTAGAANAGAGCCTTAGTACAAGATCAAGCGGGAGTGATGAGTATGACTCATCCGACACATCTTTGAGCGCCGAAGATCTGTCGGGAAGGTAGAAGACACCTCAGCATCAGGGGACCTCACCACGACACAAAAGTGGGTGGAGATACAGAGGCTATCAACGAAAATTGAGCAACTAGTTAGTACAGGGAGTTTCACCTTGGTGTAGACATATGTACGTAGGGAGGACAGGAAGACAGCTCGACAAGAGATGGACTGAACACATAAACTTGGCCAAGAATCCAAATAGAGGAGCATAACGGAAACTATACAGTTGGCTGCACAAATTTGGTTGGGAGAAATATGTTCTGATACCCATTTGGACGAGAGTGAGATCAGAGGTGATAGGGGTGGAAGCAACACTGATTAGGAGACTAAATCCATTATTGAATACAAGGGGAAAAGGCAGAAAGACTCGGAAAAACCGAAGACGAAGAAGGAGAAAGAGGAAGAAGAATGAAAACAATGAGGTGAATCAGAATATACCTCTTTTGTTTAAAGCGGTTCGATCGGGTTACACTACGAAGTTAACATCAATACTTCAACCGAAAGCAATGATTTACTGCACAACTGGAAAACTATGAAATGAAAAATGAAAAGTAATTAAACGAACATTCGGATCAACAATTGTGGAAATTGACAACACAAAGTTCCAGCTAAAAAAATGCAGAAAACGAATCGAAAATGGATGTATCTTCGATGTGATCCAACTGGTGCATATGAGACCGAAAACAAACAAACATAGAAATATTTTGATTAACTGCTTGAGGGCACCATGGAGACGGAGGGAACTATATAAATTATCGTTAGATGATATACTGATTCTTCTGTCAAAGGTGGGATCGATTACTGGAAAGAAGCAAAGACGAACAATTAAAGGCTTCTTCACACGAATTTCAAAGGAGGAGTTTGCATTCACTATCAAGAGAAGGCTGATATTTAAGATTCCATTTGATGCATGCATTAATCTGAAGCAAGTGAGAAACACAACAACCGAGTCTATCTAGGAAAACGTAAGTAATAACAATTTGGCAAACAATTTGTCAGCTCGGATGCGTGTGATGTTTAAAAAATCAAAGACAGTTGGGGAAATATTACACAATCACAGACAGGTGCTTACACAAGCACCGGACTGTAATTGTGCAGTATCCCGACTTCCAAAAATTGAGAACCACATTGCCTGCAGATTAAGTGAAATCCCATAAAATCAGCTTTTGTGGAATGCAAAAAACGTACCCCATATGAACGAAAGAATTGGAAAGGAAGAAATTAAAAGGACAATCATCATTACCATTGCAAGTATACCACGACCACTAAGAAAGAAAAGAGAAATTAAAATAGATGTCTCTACTTGCATCGAAAAGAATAATGATATGGAGATTTTTCTTCACATATCAGAAGTATGGGAAGTAAAAAGAAGATTGACACAATGTATCCTATCACCATTGGACATAAATCCTGGAGAAACTTTTGTGGAATGCCGTAAAATATGGTACGAGAAGACCCGAAAACTCTTTCTGGAATCGAATCACTACGAAATTATACAACAAACGGAATTTGAGATCACTCAATTGGCCAAAAATACGTATCATGGATGTGGGCTGAAGAAAATCGCAGAATGGGATGAACAGGGATCATACGAAAATGCGTATACAATTCCAAAAAACAAGGACGCCACCAGACGCCGACCAATTGTGTCGACATATAAGGAGTTATCTCGGAAAGCATCGAAGGTACTATCAAGAGCTATCAACTTCATGTGTCAAGCATTGAAAGTTGGTTTCTCACTAAAAGGAATGAACCAACTACTACCTAGACTGAAGAAATGCAATCAAGTAGCAAAAGAAACATACGGGGATATGACTACGATAATCTGCTCCACATACGACGTCAAAGATATATTTTTGAATCTCGATCACACACATATCTTAAACGTCATGCAATGGGTGATGAAAACGGCGAAAGAAAAACGGAAAACCCACTTCTGTTACAAGATGAGAGGAAAGTACATGAACTTTGGAAAAGCAAACGAAACCTACGGATGGAGAACATTAAAAATTGAGTGCCTAATGGATCTGTTGTACTATGACATCAAACACGCATACTTCAAACTTCAAAGTACAAGGAACATTATTATGCCAAGTAATGGGGATACCAATGGGGAAGGGCTCTAGCCCACCCATTGCCAACATGGTATGCGCGTTCGACGAGTATAGATGGTGTG